CCAGCGTGGCCAGTGGGGTCTTCGCACCGCATCCCTGACACTGAGTCCTCTCCTGCCTCGCCCTCCACTTCCAAGCCTACCCGGACAATCCAGGATGAACTCGCCATTTTAAGGGCAGCTAATGAAAGGAGCCCTGGTGGCGCAGTGGTTAAGTGCCCCATCTGCTAACCAGAAGGTTGGCGGTTCAAATCCACCCGCCCCTCCGCAAAAGAAAGATGTGGCAGCCTGCTTCCCTAAAGATTTACAGCTCGGAAACCCTATGGGGCGGTTCTGCTCTGCCCTTTGGGGTCAGCATGAGTCAGAATCGACTTGACGACAGGGGGTTTGGTTTTTATGAGCAACCTTACTTCCATCTACAACCCTAAATCTCCCTTTGCCATATAGCTTAACATGTACACAGGTTCCGGGATTAGGGTGTGGATGTCTTTGGGGGCCATTTTTCTGCCTACCCCAGCAGGGCAGAAACCAACCCTGGCCAACGGCAACCCGAATTCCAGGATGTTGAAGCCACTTGTGTGAGGGGCTGGCATGTTGTCACAGAAGTTCACAGTGAGTCAAAGTACTCGTCACACATTCGGCAAATATGCTAAGTTTGCTCCCTCTAGGAGAGACAGTGCAAATAGCCACCACCAACATTGACGGATCCAGAAGACGGTGTTCTCCACCGTACATGACTGCTGGCAATGAAGGGTACAGATAAGACCATGGCCACAAGCAGCACGGAACTAGCAAGCGTCTGCAAAGCCTTTCCAGAAACCAGAAACTATTAAGCAAGCCGTGCAAACTCCCTGAAGGTGGCACATTGGCTGGAAAACAGGTGTGATCCCAAAGTCTTACTTTTCAGTTTTGGCCCAGGACTTCAATCTTCCTACATTCTGAACGTAAGAGTAATATGTTTCTGAAGTCAAGGAAATTACAGCAAGCCATTCATATCAACTGAAAGTTAAACATTTGCCCTGCTTATTACAGCATACTAAACATTGCTTTATTATCTGCATCGCCATAACGAGTCCTGTCTCGCCAGACAGAAAACTCATCTGTGTGGCTGCTTTTCATGCCCGCACTGCAATTTAAAACGCATCAGGGAAACCGAAAAGGGCTCAGGGCTGTCTCCAGGCAGAAATGCGCTGATGGTAAAAGGCTTTGCTGCTGCCAGCGCTGTTGTGCGGAGGCTGTGGCCCTCTACACAGAAACCCCGACTAGGCTGGATGACACAGGAGATAGGACAAGATGTGTGCCCGGGGGGTGAGTACCTAGAGTGTTGAGACCCTCCACCTCCAGCCTGGAACAGAAATGACAGCTCAGGGGC